CCATTCCACCCGTCCACGCTTCTTCCCCATCCCATTTTTTCATTACAATGACCGGGGCATGGTCCGAGAACGTCCTTGTTTCTATATCGATTTTTAATCAGATGATCTATAAGTTGATGGTCTGATTAAGATGTAATCTAATCTCGATGTATTATCACTCATGTGCATTAAGAGAAGAAGGTATAGTCTCTGTCCTTCATATGCCTTATTCTCGCAAGTGTCCCACCAGTTGTTCTTCATGCATCACTTTTTCAGAGCTCTCAGAGACCTACTCCCTTCTCTTTGCACAGAAGAGGTATTATCCTTTTGTGGGTCCATACAAAAATTTAGGTCTCCGCTACTATCAGGCGACCTGTTTTAAATTCTTTTAATTTTTTCAGCAGACCCTTCATGTACATCTCCGGGATTTTTATTAGGGCAGTATATATTGGCTAAAGTACACTCAATCCCCTGGAGTCTACCTTTAAGAATAAAAACCTCCCCTCTGGGTCAGTTCTTTCTATCCTCCAACTCAATTCTCATATTCTTTTGCAAAACCAATTGCAACCCCCTTTTGTGTTCTTTTAATTGGAGAATCTGCATAATACCATGTTGGATAGTGTTTTTTTGGATTTCAATTTCACGTTTACCTCTATCTCAAAATGCGTCTCCTGTAAAAATACCACTGAGGAGGCCCTATGATGTAGCTCATTAAACAACCTAAATCTCTTTCCTGGACAACTCAACCCATTCACATTATAAGTTTATAAACTGTATTTCTTCCATCATATCCCAATTAAACTCCATCTCTCTTCCAGATTGCCTCTTCCTCTTTATCCCTTCTGTCATGCAGAGTAATTGACCCATTACTTCCTCCCCTCCCTCCCTCCCACCCCAACTCTCTCCCCCCCACCCAACTCTCTCCCCCCTCCCTCCCCACCCCCTCCCCACCCCCTCCCCCCCTGCCATCTCCTGCCCCCCCTCCCACCTCCCCCTCCCCCCCCAGGCCTCCTATGCCTTTGGATCATCTTCGACTTTTGATCCCTCTATAGGGGTTCGACTCTACCCATGACCCGCTTACCCTCCTCCCCAATATCCCCCTATCTATTGATTCTTTATTTCCTCTTTTAACCAGCTGCCACACTTTCCTGTCCCAACCGATATCCAACTCTCCTCCTCCCCTTCCCGACCAAATATCACTTGTCTCTGCAATCCAAATTTTTTCACAAAATTCTTCCATATCCTCCGAGAATCTTAGGACAGCTGTAGTTCCATCCCTCCACCCAATTAAACTTAAGTCACGTCCCCATCTGTATTTCACTCCTTGTTTTTTTCATCACTTCCAATAGGGGTTTCAATGCTCTCTTCCTTCTCAGAGTTTCTGCCGTCAAATCTGCAAAAAATTTTGGATATTTTTCCCACCGTATGTGATATTTGATCGACCTTTTATCTTTTTCCCAAATCTCTTCTCTATCTCCATAGTTGTGGAATTTAACAATTATGTCTCTTAGTTTTTCTACCCCCATTTCCTTGTTGATTCTTCCCAATCCTATATACTTCATCCAACTTGAACCTCACCTCATCTGATTTATCCATTATGGAGTTCAAGATTTTACCAGATAGCTCTTTTAGATCTTCCCCATGTGTCAATTCTGGTACTCCTCTTACTCTGATATTATTTCTCCTTTCTCTATTTTCTTGTTCTTCCATCCTATAAAGCAATCTCTTATGTTCTTTTCTATCTTCAATTATCCCATTTCTCTAGTTTTGGGATGGTCTGAGCTTGGGCTTGTACCTTCTCCCTCCATTTCCTCCACCCTAGTTAACAATTGGCCCAGATCTTCCCGAATCATCCCCATCTCTTGCTTTATTGATTTTTCCAATCCTTTAAACATCTCTGCCATTTCTTTTTTATTAGGTAATTGCATATCTCTTTCCCAAATCTCTTGATTCCATACCTTCCATTTGACTATTGTAAACTGGCCCAGGGAGAGTCTTGGGCTGTTATCCAGACTTATTTCTGATTCACTTTTTTCACTTATTCCCCGAGTTCTTTCTGGGGTAACATTTCCTTGTGACACATACTTCTTAATCGTACCCGTTTGGGTGTTCTTAGGCCCGCTCCCTTTGGTATTTTTTACCTTTCATGCTGTAGTTTGGAAAAAAATTTTATCTCTTATTTTCTGGATCTCCTGGTCTTTTACTCCTCCAATCTTCAGACCTATCCTAGGAATCCCCTATTTCTTTTATTTTCTGGTTGAGTATTTTAGCCACAGTCCTTTTTCCAGGCACCTCGCAATCTAGTGCAGGAAACTCAGAGTATATAAAAGTCTAACATACAAAACCAATGTATATGCAGTGTATAAGAAGACCCGCAGGAGGGACCCACAGTCCTCACTCACCCACCGCGCTGGAACTTCACCTCAGAAGCATTCCTCTGTGTTTAAGTCCGCTTGTCTCCTCTTGAAGGGATTTCCTAGGGGTCTCTCGTAGTTCGTATAACTTATCCTCCTGTTAGAGGCCCCCCTTCGATTAGAGTCAATATATGCAAATTAATAGTTAGAGAAAGGAGTAAAGTGGGGGTTAAAATGTTTAGCCGTAAAAAATGAGCATAATAGTATATACTTGTGGTGCTGTAAGCTTAGAAATGATATGGGTATGGTATGGGGATGATGTATAGTTGGGGTGGAGTTAGGTTAGGTGTAGGAGGCGAGGAGATGAAATATTTATATATATATATGTTGTATCTGTTGTAGGGACAGTATGTCCTTTACCCTCCGCCACTTCACCCACTTGCTGAGATGCCGGACAATCTCTCTCTTTCTCGGAGCTCCCAGAGCTCCTCCACTGCTTCTCACGTGTCTGAGTCAGTCAGTGTCAGCGTCTCTCGAATGTCCCAGCTGACTCACTGACGTCTCCCTGGCAACCCTGCTCCTCCTCCTCCGAAACCACCGCAGCGCAGAGAGCCAGAGACCCGCTGAAGCCACGAGGCAGCTCTCTCCCGGCTCTAACCCAAGCTCCAGGTCAGCCGGTCGTCTCCCAGGCAACCCCTCTCCTCCTCAACAGTCGCCGCGGAAGGGGAGAATCCGATGTGTCTCTCCCCCAGATTCTTTCAGGCAGGTGAGTCCCTGCATTCAGTGCAGCTGGACCCTCTAACGAGGGTTCGTAAGAAGGAGATAAACGGGGGGAGGAGGGAAGGCTCACGGAGAGTGCTAGCCTACACTCTCTCTCCCGTGCCGCCATGTTCAGGCTCCGCCCCGTGGTGCAACTTGCCTGATCTATATTGAGCTGCAAAAGTCAATACGTTGCAATGGGCAGAAATATTTGGACAGAAACCACATGAGCTCAAGTATCCAAACGTGAATGTTCCTTCATAGCAAGCCTCCATGATGTACTGTATGGGCCTGGCCCACTCCAAATGAATGCATTGTTCCGGTAGGTCCTCCTATGACAGACTTGAGCTACATGTGGAGGAAATTGCACTGACTTTTCATCACATTGCATATTATCTGGCCATCTTAAGTCTCGGGAATAGAATCCAAGAAGATCTGACACTTTAAGGAAACAAATTAGTCTTTACTTGACTCAACATAAAAATAAGCCAAATACAGCTAAAACATATCCTGAAAATGAGGACTCTAATATCCGGTGAAAGTTGATTCAGGAATGATAAACAATTGTGCCCCCCAAAAGCAGCATAGAGGAAAGGGATGGTCAAATTGCTGTGCTGCTTCCAAACCACCTCTTTTTATGCAGGTCCTTGATGCCAGTTCTTGCCTGGGGCCACAAAATCTCCACTGGCCACAAATGAAGGCGAGTGGAAACATGAAGGTGGATTTATCCCAGCTTGAACCTGAAGCAGTACCACTCCTGAAAAATGAGAGCAAATAATCGACACGTCATCATGACAGTCAATTCTCAGTGCAGGCTATCTAGAGTATCTTTCCTTAACCATTTCAAGAGTTGAAGTAAATATTCTTGGAGCATTTACTGTGTTTGGAAATGTCCAAGGTCCCCCCCATCCCCCAGGCGCACACTGTTTACTTGAAGTGGAGCCCTATCCTGATTTCATGATGTGCTTGAAAAGCCGGCCTCTCTGGTCTACGTGGCTCATGAAGGAGTCTTCTTGGGCTCACACCAGAACAAGGTGCTTGTTCTGGGGGCAATGGACAGGAGAGAGGGGCCAAGGAATGCTGGCATGGGAGCAGCTAAATGAATGATCTTGGCTGCTCTGTGGCAAGCGGCTGTTCAGAGCAGGTAAAGCCGTCCTTAGACGGGTTGAAAATCGGCTGATCTTCAAAAAAAAAAAAAAAAAAACGGTCGTTCAATCGGCCGACGTTACCAGCAACGTTCTAAAAATTTTCTGATTTTTTTTTTTCAACCCGTCTATGGCCGGCATTAGTCTTAAATGTTTAATATTGTAGTTTGGAACAATTGTTAAGATCACTTTTTTCCAAACCCACCTGTGACGTCAGACAGTGAATCCCAACAGGCTTCCCAGGGTCTCCATCTGCCTTCTCCAGCAGTTAATCAGCTGAAAGAAAAAAATAAACACATTTAGATACATAGCAGAGGATTTTCCTTCAGAAATCTACAGGTGGCACAGACAATAGGCCAAACTGGCCGGCTGTTCTACTCCTCTTCACTCTCTTGCCCAAAGCCACAGCATTTCTTCATGTAATGTTTGATTGGCCAGGACAACTTGTCATGTTGACTACACACTGGCTCAAAATGGCAACGAATGCTTGGCACCCACCCTCTACCCAATATCCTGCTACAGGGCGTCATGGGTGCGCCCACCTTGGCCGTGTTGCCTTTTTTCCTCGGCTGTCAATCCTTGGGGCTGTGCCCACTGATTCCCGAGCATCTCTGATGGGGAGGATAACTACATGTAAACAAGACAGTTCTCCTCCCTGTCAGCTTGTGCACACTGCTTTTGGATGGATATGCCCAGCACAGCCATCCTAAGCAGTGTCCTTACAGTGAAGCACACACACAGGTAACCCCTTATCTCGCCCCACATGTTAACCCCTTCCTGCCCAGTGCCATTGGTACAGTGCCAGTGCTTTTTGGTCAGCAGTGATCTCTGTATTGGTGTCACTGGGGATGTCAGGGACACCAAGTTAATTCCCCCCAGTGGCAAGAATGTCCGCCGCAGTCCCGCTATATATTGCTCTTCCCCACCATTACTAATACAAATAACCCCATTAAAACGGAATATATTCTGCCATTTGTAGACGCTCGAACGTTCACATCAACAAAATTTACGTATTTGATTTTAGGAAGCAAAGACAAGGAGCAGAATACATTTTGCAATACAGAATTAAACATGTTTTAATCTAAAAAAGGAGCAATATTGCTTGGGTCACAAAAGTGAATGGCTTGGTGATCTAGAGTAAGTAATTAGACACACACAGGTGACAAAATTAACGCCAAAAAAGCTCAAATTCTGGGCTATAAAGGATTTAGGTTTCATTTGGGGGCAGTGTTTCATGACCACACAGTTGTCAAATTCAAGTCACGCATCGCTTTAATGCTATAAATGGCCTGGTCAGGAAGGGGGGGAAATCCTCATGAGGGCATGTGGGTAACATCTGTGTCCGTGGGAGGGAGAGTCTGCAAACATGCCATTTTATGGCTGCTGCAAGACAACAAGCAAATCAGTTGATTACAGCACGTTTGCTACAAGGGGTCACTAATGGTAAGTCATTCTATGTTCTCGCATAGGTCACCCATGTGATTTATGGAGGCGGCGAAGAGCAGCAGGAGCCCAGACCTCTGAGTGGTGTGAATATGCAAAATGGCTGATTTCCTGCCAGCAAACGGGTTGCCCATGTGGGCTGTGATGCGGCCCTGGGACCTGAAGATTCCTTCCAATAGTGTGCCCCCCTGGTGGGGCAAATGACTTTCTTGGAGGGTTCAGGGTAGCACAGTACTTCCTGGGGTTTGGAATTGATGCCCCCTTCTAATTTCCAAATTGAAACTTCTTGGCAATATGGGCTGGTTCACGAGCATTGCAAATGGGTGTTTGGTTTTCGAGTAGTATAAATCTCATTGGCAGATTTGGCCCCTCTTACCATTTTTGAGCCAGTGATAGAAAAGACACTTCAAGCTGAGCTCCACCCAAAAGGGGAATTTCAACTTTAATGCATGGCTCCTGGTTAAGGAATGTCACCTTTTTGTGGACAGTCTTTGAATGGGACAGGTACCTGCTCCCACTTGAGCTGCAATTGGAAATTGCCCTACTCCCCCCCATAGTTTTCTTGGAGGTGTCTGGTCCCTGAAGACTATGTTGGTTATGTGTTATAGAAGACACTGGTAGTGATGGCAGAATTCAGACTTTACTTGTGTGGCTTAAATTACAAACATACAGAGCACATTTCTCAGCAGACAGATTACAGACACATTACTTCCTGAAGATAGAGATGAACCAACAAGTTCTAAAGCTATGCACAACTGATAACCTTAGTGTACAGCGCCATCTACTGGTCAAGTGATATTAACACAGAATACTGTATATAGTACATTATATGTACATGCTGTTGCATTCCCAACAGACTACGGGACCATTCCCAAAGTGCAGCGCTGCTCAAGCATGTGTAGTGGGCACCTGCTTAGGAAGCCAAAAGCTGTCAGACAGGGGCACACATTGAAGATGGTGCCAGGGTGAGAAGATGGCTGATAAAACCAGTCATGGTGAGGGCCCTGCTGGATGGAGGGAGCGTTGAGTGTCTGTATTTGACAAGTCAGCAGCTACATTTTTGCTATCTGCTGAGTTTGTTTAACAAATCAAATGGAAAACCTCTAACTTGGAGGACGAATTTACATTAGGTCTAATCTTTGCTCTCCAATCTATATGCTCTGTCAAACGGTTACTTTCTTGTTCAATAAATAAGACCTGTATTTGGCCATCCTTGTGTGGATTACTTGGTAATATTGTAGTCTGTTACTAAGATTAATATTGTCCCACCTCAGATATATTAGCCAATTCTATGGATCGAGAAGATATAAACTTAATTTAAGACAACGATTGTTCAAGACCAAAACAAGGACCCAAGTGATTGCAACTGCAACAAATTTAATCTCTACCTATGGTAGAATACGTACATGTGAAGTAGCGGGTGATCAGGTCAGCTCGCGTGGCCATCCCATCATCCGTATTGGACCTTCGGGACACCCGCAGCTGACGGACTTCCGGCTCCCTCTCCTCAGAAGTCTCCCAGGAATCATTCCTCGCCTGGCAGATGTTGTGTAGGAGGCAACAGGCGAGGATGATCCTGGAAGACTTCTGGTGAGAGTATAATAAACCCCCCCCCCCCCCAGGCCTGGCCAAACACAATCTGGATTTGAGCACCCCGATGGTCTGCTCGATGATGGCTCTTGTTTTGGCCTGAGCCTTGTTGTAGTGTTTCTGGGCCAGGCTCTGGGGGTACCTGACTGGAGCCATCAGCTGCGGATAGCCGGCATCCCCTGCAAAAAAAAACAAATGTGGTCAAGTCATTGCATTAGTATGGTTATAATATTATATAGACGTTCAAACCGTACATTATTTCTAAGGTTGGTTTCTACCTAGACACAATTGATAGCCTGTCTCCGTTCAGTGACCACGTTTTGTACAATGTGAATGTCAAAGCACTTTAGAGCATGAAGTCAGTGTTGGAATACATGGACCTTACCTATGTCTTTCCCACATTATCTGCTGATTGGTGCATATATGTATCCTTTTGTTTTTGGTTTAGGGCCTAGAGTCCACATCTATATGGTGTAAGTTGAATCTTTGGATGGCTGAGAGGGTGTTCCCAGCACAGTTCTCAGTGGGGCCAGAGAAAGAGCTATATGTATGTGTGCAAAGGTTAGCTTTATGATCATGATAACTTGCCAAGAAGCCAGCCGTCTGGCATTTGGCCACTTTCGAATTTGCGGAATACACCCGACTGCTGGAGGATGAAAGCATCATGGCATGACCCTGGAAAGCCAAACCAGTTGTACGTTGAGTGAATGGTACTGCTTGCGGTTGCGATAGTTTCTTTCTTCTCTCCTGGGTGCTCGTATTGCAACATGGGTGCAATCTATCGCACCCAGGACTTGTGGCATTTATACCCGCTGGTAGAAATCCACCTTCACGCCATTCCACTCATCTTCATTTTGTGGCCAGTGAATAAATTATGGCACCAGGTCAAGAATGGCATCTATGACCTGCATAAAAACCCTGAACACAGTTGACTTATTCAAACCACAAGTCCCAGAGGTGGTTTGGAAGCTGCCCCGACCCAAAATATAGTGGGTCGTCAGCAATTTGACCATCCTGGATATAGCATGACTGCGCCTTGTGGTAGGCACAATCTTTTCCTCCTATGAGGTGATAGAGGTGCAGAATAGCTTCTCGTCCTAAACGGAACAGACACCGGATATCGGAGTCCCACAAATTTTCAAGATATGCTCTGGGGGGAAAAAGCCTTGGTTGGCGTAAGCGCACCAAAGCACATGGAGGAGGTTCCTGATTTGCAGCTGCATCACAGAACAGCTGCAGGAACACAGTTGCTGAAACATGTAAGCACTCATGTGCCTCATCCATCTCTACAACAATCTCTTCCCAACTCACACCCGCCATCTCTACAACCCACAAAGACTGGACTGCATTCGCGTATATATATGCGCATACGGTAATTGCGCACAAATATGCGTCATCGGAAACGACTATAAATGAGAGCACGTGGAAAGTCAGCGTTCTCATACAGTAGACGTGGCCTGAGAGCATTTCTAAGGTAAGCTTAGTGTTGGTAAGAGTACAATTTTACTGACATTTGTTACTAGAAACACCAAAAAACATGTTCTACAACACTTATGTGTAATCAAATGTATCCTTCTCTATTATACAGTATTTATATAGCGCCAAAGGGTTTGCTCAGCGCTGTACATTAGCGAGGGGGATTGAACATGAGACAGTACAGTAACAATACAATACACAAGGGGTTCGAGGGCCCTGCTCTTTCGAGCTTACAATCTAGGAGGGAGGGGATAGTGGTACAGGAGTAAGTGGCTGTGGGGGATGGAGTGGTAGGAGTGGTAGGAGTGGAGGAGAGGGGTTGTTGGGTGAGGGTGGGGTAGGCTTCTCTGAAGAGATGGGTTTTCAGGGTGCGCCTGAAAGTGAGGGTAGGTGACAGTCTTATGGATTGGGGTAGGGAGTTCCAGAGGATGGGGGAAGTCCTGCAGTCGGACGTGGGAGGAGGAGTCCAGGGTGCTGGAGAGTAGGAGGTCCTGTGAGGAGCAAAGGGCACGGGTAGGTGGGTGGCATTTGGGTATCAGGTCAGTGAGGTAGTTTGGGGCAGCGTTTATGAATGGCTTTGTATGTCAGTTAGTAATTTTTGAATTTGAAGGGATTGGCAGAGGGGGGAGGCAGATGTGGAGCGGTTGGTGAGCTTAATGAGTCTGGCCGCTGAGTTCAGGATACACTGGAGCGGGGATAGCGTGTGTTTTGGATAGGCCGGTGAGAAGGGAGTTGCAGTAGTCCAGGCGTGAGATAATGAGGGAGTGTACGAGTTGTTTAGTAGTGTCTGGGGTGAGGAATGTACATATCTTGGAGATGTTGCAGAGGTGGAACCTGCAAGACTTTGATAGTGATTGGACATGAGGTTGTAAGGAAAGGTTTGAGTCTAGGGTGACACCTAGGACTTTAGCTTGCGGGGTGGGATTGATGGTGGCGTTGCTAGCCTGATGGGGAGGGAAAACTAGGAGCTCAGTTTTGGCAAAGTTTAATTTGAGGAAGGGGAGCGACATCCAATCTATTCGTTCAGAAGGCTAATGATTTTGGCGGAGACTGAAGGAGTGAGGCGAGGGGTAGAGAGAGAGACATTTAGTATATAATATTAGGAGAAATAAATAGGTAAAGTGTATGTATGACCATAACTTGTTTTTATTTTGTTTTAGGGTAGGGATGCATTATGTTGTTGGATCTTACCCCCCCTAAGAATAACTTTCTCAATGTCTGGGTGACCACCATCAAGACAAAGTGATGTGAAATTAAGAAATATTAGTTTTAACTCTTCAATCCCTCCCAAGAATCCGTACCTACAGCTTAATGTACTTACATTTGGAAAAATCATGGAGAACAGATCAACAGGGGCCAGCTCCTGGGCAAAGACAGAAGTTGGTGGAGAAGTCATAACACAATGAGAAGAAAGTAGGAATGAAATACTGATTTCCTGGAGGAAAGAACACTGACTGGTACTGTTTTTTATCCATGACCTTCATTGCCATTCTTTGACCTGTA